TGTCAATAATCTGATGCCATTCGTGAATCTTGCTTATATTCTCTAAGAACGTGTAACAGCCAATATATCCACAAAGCTAGTTAAGTTCCTTTCATCTGCGATTCCTAGGAAATGCTAACCTTTTAAGGTCTAACTACTAACAATTGTTTTCCTTTTTATCAAATGTTTAAAACTAAGAAAGGTATACCCGTTTGATAATTAGTGCCGCGACCTCAGCTTTCCCTCGTTTAACAGCAACTTTACTTGCGTTGTATTTTCTTTGGTTTTGTTTTGTTGAAAGTTATCAGTCCGTTAAGTTACACTAGTTTAATTCAAGAACGACCAAGTTCTTTTTAAACCTTATCCATCGAGCTAACTTCCACTGATCCCTCCTCAACCCCCACCATGTGGTCCCGCCAGCAGTAACAAAGGACAACTAAAACCTTTGACCCGAACCAGGGGTGGAAAGGCCCCCACTGCGAGTTTCTTCAGTAAACCGACAAAGACGGACCTTCGGAGCAATTCCCTGGCAGATAAAGCGACTGGCCGACGGCTTTAAGCTGTCCTAACTGAGAACGCACAGATCTCAGCCATTGACCAGCACCCGGCTGGGAGAAGCGACACGCAGTAAGACCAAAACCCTGCATTCTGTGATCAGTGATGTCCCATAGTCTGTTAGTAGATTATCTTTAACTCTTAATGGACCGTGACTTTAAATTACCCTTTTTAAACTATGTGTAGTCCTTGGTCCTGCGTGTTCTTTCATGAAGCAATAGGAGAAGATGTTTTTGGTCCAAGTTGATCAGTTTTATTACAAGTAAATGAATAAAGCTTACAGAGCTCTGGGTTGATCTTCCTTTCCCTGACAAGCTGTATCAGTGTGACTGGCTATCTCTCCCTGACCCAGTGTTTTAGTATACATCGTCATGTCATAAAACAATAAAACAAAAGTGTAGGTCAGTCCATGATTGGCCCAAGTCCTCTGACCCCAATGTTTGTCCTCTGACTCCACAAATCGCCATGCTGTTGCTGGGCAGATTACGAGTGTAGTTCCTGAAATGAGATATCTTGGAGAAGAGATGTTTTGTGCCACATTCCAAACTACCCCTCACCCATTGTGAGGGGTGTCCTTATCTGATCATGCAGTGACCCCTGTTTCTGCACATCTCCAAAAAACACACACATCAGGTCTAGTTTAATAAATGATAAACCAACATATAAACTTCTACCTATAAAATACATCAGAGATCAATATAAGAAAACACAATAATTTTGGTTACCCTGAGTAATACAAAAATCATGCTATCATAATCTCTCAAAACTCATAGCTTGCGTTCATTAGCTGCCCGTATGAGTCAAATGCTCCCCACAATAGAACCCCTTCTCATTTTTAATTTCTTTGATGTATTTAACCGCATTTTTATATCACCTTAGTTATTTAATAAACTTCACTGTAATCAAGGAATTGTGTGTTTATTGCCTATCTCCAAGTCCCTGCCAAGAGAATTTACCCCTTCGATATGAGATTGACTGACTGATTTAAGATAATTGAGCAATTGTTAACTAACTGATCACTAGTGAATAATTGTCTAGTTATTAACCATACTGAGAGGTCCGGAGACTCTGGGCGAATTGGATCTCCGGTGGTGCCTCGCAAAACGAGAAGCTTTGTGAATTAATATTTTCTGAATATTAAAATTCATAATTTGGTATTAATTCTCGTAAATTTATTAAAACATAGTAGTCATGCTAGAACTAGAATGCTGGACGCTCCAATCGACTTAAAAACGTGAGTACGATGTTTTGTATCATTCCTTGAAATAGGGAAAAAACCTAGGTTGATAGGACATGTGTTGGAGATTTTCATCAGAATTCGGCGTAAGACCTTTGTGGTAACCAGGTGTTCTGTCGAGTCAGACACCTATTCCGGAAAAAGTTCGCCCAGTTGGGGTTTATAGAACTATAAATATAGTTAATCATCGGGGTGGTGATAACGCTTCTATTCGGGGGAGTTTAGACTTAAAATGGAACTCTAAAAATACATAAACAGAGAAAAAACAACAGGCCAGGAGTGATAAGTGCATAATCCCATTATGGTACCATAGTGATAAACTATCTAGGCGCTTATATAGACTAGCATACACATCTATTTCACTCCGTATTCTTTGGGAAGGAATTATTTTCCCTGACAGTCCCAGGACGCCAAAGAGTAAAATGTAGAAGTAACTTTCTGGTATCGGTGGCCCACTTCAAGCACTGCCTATTATCAAAATTGACACCACTTATCTGTGAAGCCTTACTCCACCAGTGGATTACATTCCACAGAAATTGGCTTGTTACGTTGCCAAAGGTCCAGATGATCCAATCCAGTAAAATATTTAGTCTAAAACGCATTATAATTTCAATAAATACACACGGACTGCTATTGTGTCTCTTTATATAGCCTAACTACAGCTAGCATGTAAACAAAAAATGTGTCTACACGTTGACTTTTTGAGTGACACCTTAATTGACCCAATAGAAACTTCCATGCCCTGTTCACACCCTACAATATATACCAATGAGTGTCCACGTCGCCGGGAAGTGCCAGTCCAAATTCAGAATATATGAAGGTATTTTTGTGTCTTTTTAATGCAAGCAAAAAAATGTTTTGAGAGCATATTTATTACACTGCAATCAAAAATTAAGTTTGTAATTAAAAATAAACCTAAAAATAAGCCTTTTTTTGTGTCACAAAAAGTTTTAATTGCTAATTTTTCCTTATTGATTGCAAGTTAAAAAGTTTTCCTTGCGAGTCAGAAAGTTTTGCAGGTTAAACCGTTTTGCAAGTGAGAGAGTTTTGCAAGTTGAAAAGTTTTGCAAGTCAAAAAAGGTCTAAATAAGAGATTCTATTGGTGGTTTGGCTGACCAATCATGGGTTTGCATCGAACGCATGGCCACGCCCACAATCCCCTCGCTCCGACGGCTCCGTTCACTTTCTGGAGACGGAGCTGGAAGGTGTGCAGGCCTTTTTATATAGTCTGTGGTACAGGCTATGGAGGTAAATTGACGTTGTGTCGCTTATTTCAATAGAAATGCTTTTTAAATGTAGTATGGCATGATTTAATGATTATTTATATTTACTGTTGGCAAGGTCACGGAGTCTATCGCTGTCTCCTTTTTTAGAATTTAGTGTATAACAGTTAGCTAACGTTAGCAGTCTTGACATGAAGCTTGACTGGCAGTGCATTTGTGCACTCGGACATGACGAGCTAGGCTAAGGTTAGCTACTCATGTTTAAAACACATTGTACATGATATCCAGCTAAACTAGTTTTTTGTGACTGTGGTAACTGAAATTTATGGTCACACAGCATTCACTGTAATATACATGAGACCGCTAATGTTATATTGGAAATATAGACTGTTATCTAGATATTTTGAAGTGTTGCTGCCTTGTTACGTTTTCTCCTGTAACGTTAGATGTGACAGAAGAATTTATTACACTCATTTATTTTCCTCCCATAGTTGCAGTGTGGATCATTGGTTACAGCTATGTCCAGCATGGTGGCCAGAGAGCTGCAGAGAGCTTAGGAAACATCTTCACCCTGCCCGATGTCTCTTGGTCTGGTTGGCTTCTCCCCTTCTTTTCCCCTCCCTGCGAAGAGGTGCACCATCAGATGTCCTCATCATCCACTGTGGCGGCAGCAGCATGGGGGAGGTCATCAGCATGAAGCTGGTCAACATGGAGGACGACCTGCACCGGCTTTACCTCCAGCACCCTGGCATGAAGATCCTGTTTTCGTCTGTGACGCAAAGTGTTGGTGGAAGGCTGGTGCCAATCAGTTAACAATGTTATGGCTGTATTTGTTTGTACCTTAAATGATGCCATGATTAACAACCCTCGCATCAGACATGGCAGTCCTGGGCTATATTTGAAAAATTTATTTTATTTCACAACTAGGGCAGATTATGTTTTCAAGTACAGTAACTAATTGCATCAAAGACCACCTCCAAATGCAATGAACTGCTTTCAGTTGGCAGTGTTACTGCTTTTGAATTTGGCTTTTAGGGCCCATTTTCTTGCACCTAAACATAGCTGACAGTCATGGTTAATGTTGTTTATGTTCATAATAGTTGTTAAAAAATAACACTCCCACCTTTATCCCCCTTTCTCCCTACCACCCCATGGACTCCTAAGTACTCTGGACCTATGCCGGACATACAGTAGCTGTTACCACTTGCACAGGCCCAGTCTGTTCATTTGAATAAATGTGTTTACTACATGTCCACATTTAAGAACATTTAAAAAAAATGTTTTACATTGCAATAAATTTTATTTATATATTTGCACTCCTTTTGTGTTTAATACTGACTGGAAATGTTAATTTCAAATTCTGATATACTGTAAGTCTAGTTCAAACATGTGCACATCCAACAAACTATGTTCACATAGTGCTGAATAAACGTGCTTAGAGTGAAAAAATAAGAATGACCTGCACACTAAGTAATTATGAATCCCACAAGGCAGTATCATTTATTGCAATGTTTCAAACTCAGGTCTTCTCAGGTAAATACACAGGTATCGTGAAGCTTTTACAGTGAGGCAAAGAAACAATCAGCTGATATGCACCTGTGATTAATAGGTGCTTTCTATCAGCTGATTTAGTTTTTTTCCTTTTGCCTCACTAAACCGGTAAAGCCTCACAATACCTGTGCAATATCTACAATACTTCTCAGAGGTTGCAATAAATAACACCTCCTAGGGAGCTTCAAAATTATTCTTTGTGAAGATATTTCTTTGAGTATAACTTCTAAGTGAATTTCACACTGGTCTCTTTTCCATTTTTTACTTTCTGCAAAAAGATTCAACATGTATAAATACCATCTCATTATTTTCATTTTCAACTATTAACCATCATATTTTGTGAAAGGTTTAGATCACTATTATGTTTCAAATTAACATTGGGAACTGATGATTAGTCCCGCGACCCTGTATGCAGGATAAGTGGTTGACGATGGTTAGATGGATGGAACTGATCATTAGTCTTGCCTGATTTTATTTAACAAATGATTACACTAAACAAGAAACAGCTGAACAAATTGAAGTCCTATCCTGCATCCATGAAAACAGCAGTAAAAAGGTTAAAATTGTTGTTTTGTATGACTTGTAATAATGTACAGTTAAGACACTTAAATAAATGAAAATTTGTAAAAGTTGTAATAAGTATGATAATTTAACCTGGATAGTAACAGTAGTAAATAAGTAGTGTTCATATACTGTGGGATTAGGTGTGGAGTAAAAATAAACACAATGGTTCAACAAAGCAGTAAGGTGCAGGTGCTGTCAGGGAGAGAGCCAGCCGCAATGGAAGGTGGGACTTTTATATCCTGTAGCGTACTGGGCCCAGGTGCTCCATATCAGGTAGAAGTAGACTAAGCAGGGGCCGTCACACGTCCTACATGAGAGACAGACGACAGGTACACAAAATAAGAAGCAGCTGTCTCACACATATTGCTCGCTAATCTAGCTTTACATAACTCGCCCTACAGCCCAGCTACCAGTCTTCATAAGGTACAGCCACTGATTCTGATAGTGTCCGCAAATCCTTCCTCTCCCTGACCACCCTGTTATAGTACCTTGCAAAGTAAAGTCAATTACTTGTCAAAAGTATTATCACTCTAAATTATAACACTTCTGTATTACGTCTTGACTTCCGTGCATGCTGGTTTAAAAACTACGGCTAGCATACACTCACATTATGTTAGTATCCTTAGCGCAGCTTGGCATTGCTTAATGCTGGCTAATTTGCTAGTTAATGAGCTAACCTTACATGCTGTTGCTGCCACAGTGGATCCGATGCTGCACTCCTGCAGCGTCCCATTTACCGCGGAAGTCGGAGGTCAGAGCTGGGAATGACGTCACACCCGAGTTGACGGCGTTCCAGTTAACAAGTCGGAAAACCTGCTCAGCCAGCTCTTTGTTAGCTATTGATATGCCGGTTGATTAAAAAAACGCATTATGTGGTATTTACACACACTAAACACTGTAGCAACACGTCCACAGACAGCTGTTGGACAGCACTTTCTATGAGTCACAAGTGCAAAGAAGTGCTAATTAACAGTATAAACTACAGCTTTCACTAACTGTTGATACCCCGACAGCCATCTTGGATCACGTAGTGGTAGTGCATTTGTCCCGTGTCAGAAATCCGACTTCAGGGGGCGTTCCAGTTGAAAGTTACAACTGGGAACTCTGACTTCACAGGGAGGGGAAAGACGGGGGGGGAGCCAGACCAAGAGACATCAGGCAGGGTGAAGATGTTTCCTAAGCTCTCTGCAGCTCTCTGGCCACCATGCTGGACATAGCTGTCACCAATGAGCCACACTGCAACTATGGGAGGAAAATAAATGAGTGTAATAAATTCTTCTGTCACATCTAACGTTACAGGAGAAAACGTAACAAGGCAGCAACACTTCAAAATATCTAGATAACAGTCTATATTTCCAATATAACATTAGCGGTCTCAAGTATATTACAGTGAATGCTGTGTGACCATAAATTTCAGTTACCACAGTCACAAAAAACTAGTTTAGCTGGATATCATGTACAATGTGTTTTAAACATGAGTAGCTAACCTTAGCCTAGCTCGTCATGTCCGAGTGCACAAATGCACTGCCAGTCAAGCTTCATGCCAAGACTGCTAACGTTATGCGATAAATATACTCTCAAAAAAAATTTTTGCTTGCATTAAAGAGACACAAAATACCTTCATAGAATACAGAATTCCGGCACAGTGCCAGAGAACTTTAAGCCCTGCAAACATGATGGTTTGATAGAAGTTTCAAGGAAACTATTTACACCCGGTTGACAAACCGTCGCTTAACAGAGGAGGGGGTCTGCGACACCGCTTATCCCCCACTTATGTAACAGCAGTATAATGAGATGGAATACGATGCCAATAAGGAACTTTGGAATACCAGTCAAGAGCAAGGTTACCCAAGAGCAGCCTTCAAGGAAGCCTTTTACTGGCCAACACCATGGCATCATGACGTCACTGGAGTTTTGTACCGGAGTGAAGACAGATAACCAATTTAACTCTAGTGTATCACTCAGTTATTATAAGTATTATACTTGGTTTATTTTCTGAATTACCAGATAGTTAAACGTCTGTGTTCATTGTAGGTCTGAACAACAAATGACCACAAACAGCTTTCTTAATTTATCAGAAAGACTTTCCCCGTTAACTTTTAGAATAGATATAGTTTTTTGTAGAGAGTCTGTCTGTCAGCACGAAACACTTTTTACATAATTTATTGTCATTTATATTCAGCCACATGTATCACTGTTCACTGAGAACTCCTGAGTGTCAGGTTTGATGTGAAGTACACCATTTTTTATTTCCCTGAAAGGTTTCTCAATAATGAATTCAGAATTAGAATATAAGTAAGTACAGATGATAATAATCATTAAATAATATAGGGACTGCAGATGTGAATTAGCTTGAAGCTATTAGCTGGTACAGTGCATCAAATGGTAACGTTTATGTTTTACTGTACGCTGTCCCTTTTTAAATAAAGAATTTAGTATATTAAGGCATTCTGCATATAGAAATGACTCCTGTGTCTCTGAGCCGGACATAAATACAGAATGCAGGTTGTTATTCATGTGCAGGTGTCTGTTAAACAGGTAACAGCAACAGAGAGAAAACACTTCTGCTATGATCCAGTTACAATCAGCTGCTGCTATCTTTAGAAATAGATGTCGCATCACGTCACGCTTCCGAGTAAAGGACGTCTCTTTTCTCTAAAAACATATTTCTTGTTTCTTCTTGTATGCTTTCCTCATGTCTTAGTCCCTCCCACCAGAGATGCACAGAGAGATGCAAGTGAGAGAAACGTGGATGCTATTAAGAGACTTGAGATGCATCTGTAAAAAAATAATTATGGTGCCAAAGTCCTAAAAAGGCTTATCGCAGTGGCCTGGGTTCGACCCCAGCCAGCAGCCCTTTGCTGCACGTCGTCCACTCTCTCCCTCAATTCCATCTCTCTTTATCCTATCCACAATAAAGGCCCCAAAAATATATTTATATATACAAAAATTATGTAGCTAAAATTTAGCTATAAGTTAATAAATTAAGTAGGGTTGAATGAAATGCAAAAAACAAACAAACTAATCATACAATAACACAAATCATGTTTTTAGTGAGAATGGTCATTTTTGCATTTAATTTAAAATTAAAATTAAAAAATTAAAAAGGATTTATGCTGGTTGTACCTAACAGACATTGTATTTGTTGGCTGGATCACCTTTGTAGCACCGTACTGCTTCATTAATAACGGCTCTTCCCCTATGTATATATCCCATTGATGCCATATGTGCTAATAACTTTTATTACTATTTATTGCTCATCGTATCTATTGTTACACGTAGATCTCTTACTTTATTGATGCTTGCATGTTCCTCAAAAGTCCCTTTGGATAAAATCATCTGCCAAATGAGTAAATGTAAATGATCTAACACTTTGTACCTTCATCAAAAAAAAATATTGCACTTGGCCATACTGTGATTTCAATAATACCCATTTAGTGCGAGCAAACTCAGACATGAACTCCATAGTGCTGTGCGAGAGAGAGGTTTTTTTTTCTTTTTCAAAACAGCATATCATATTTAGTAGTGTTGTAGTAGTGTTCGGAACAATATGCGCAATGTGAGTGCAGGCCAGCGGGGGAGTGGGGAGTAGGGATAGGAGAGAAAATCGATTCTTAGATGCATTGCGATGCGGACGTGGAACATTCTGTATCGATTAACAAATGTAAAAAATCAGTTATCTAAATGTTAATTGATAACGTAATGTTCATGGAACACAAAAAGCGGAAGTCTCAGAAGTGCACAAGTGCAGCACCTGGACAGTCAGAGACCAGTGTCCAGGCGCTTATTAAGATGAATGTGCAGTTCATGAGTTTCACTCGCACACATTAACACATTTATATGCAGTATAAACTGTAACACTCAACGCTGGGCTGGCTCCCTGTGTCACCTGTGTGTGTAGTGAGTGAGTGGGCGAGCAAATGAGAGAGAGCAGTTGCGGATTGGTCGTCGGGAGAGTTGGGGCATTTCCTGGTGGCCTGCGGGCCGTTTTGGTCAATTTGACCAGCGACATCAATAATCTTGCAAGCTTCTTTTAATAATCCTAATGCCAGGAATCCACTGACTCCGGCAATGGCACGTTATGGCTGCGCCACGGTTTTGATGCATCCATAGCCCGACGTGTAGAGCAATGCAGAGCTTCTGGTGTGAGCACAGAGCAAAATGGCTGCGATCCACGACACAGACAGACTCAGTAATTCCGAGGTCATGTTAACTTGGTATAAATGACTTGGTAGCAGGTGGGCCCCGTGATGAAGCTCGGCCCTCATCTCTCTCTCTGTTTCTCTGCCATTGTTAAGAGCTTCCACGCAGCTGGCCACATGTTTTAGCGTTTGTCTGTTCAAAGCCTCCTCCTGCGTCGTCTTTTGGATGCGCAGGCTGTCACTGCCCTCCTCATGTGAACAAACAGGCAAACAAGGGCTCAGTGAGGAAACAATAAACATCTGATGATCTGTTTCTATGATGACAAGCAGCACAGTGTCCCTGTTACACCAGCGGGAACATGCCCAAAGTCACAGCTACGGGGTTTCACTCAGTGACACTCTTGAAAGTGATGGCTTTTAAATAAGTCACTGTGCTTAAAACAGCATGCATCCGTCTTCTTTTCACTGCAACTCTGCATCGCGGTGTAACGTTACATATTTAATCTACTACTTTAAAAAGTAACAGTGGCAGTGAAGCTTTTTCTCATACTATGAGGGTTAAACTCGGCCCAACTGTGCCGAGGGAGGTGGGGGGTATTTTCATGACAAAAAGTATGAGTGGTTCAGCCTGAGAGAGACATTGAGAGGAGGGAGAGGGAAAGAGATGTGTGAGGAGCCATTTCCTGTGACTTTAGTATTAATAACATTTTAATTAAAGTTTTCAATACAAGTTTTTTTTTATTTCATGAAAAATTCCACCAAAAAATAATTGTTGTAGTTATTACACTACTACGCCACCATTAAATTTTTCCTGTTGCGCACCACACTTTGGAAATCACTGACTTAGGACATTGTACAACAGTGACAATACTGAGGTAAGTGCAAAAAGGAATAACAAATACTGATCATTGTGAAACTGCACTGCTCAGTGGTTATGAATAGAATAGAAGAATGTTCTAGACAAATGATACAATAAGAAAAAAATGCATGGACTGTGATTCATACTGTGATTTCCTGGCCTCGCTGTGTTAAACCTGTTTGGTTGTCATGGTAGAGAAGGATATTTGATCACATGAAACTGATCTTGTGATTTGTTTTAGCACATATTCATGTGGTGAATCAGACACAAACTAGTTAGCACACCCAAAAAATGTACCCTGCTCAAAAAAAGTAAGGACTAAAGCTAGTAACACTTTGGACACTGAATCACAAATCAGATCTTGATGAACGAAATAGTTCAATGTTCAAAATCTTTACTGTACATTGAATAATTTGTTGAGAACAAAATGACGTGCGTCCCCTCAACCCGACCCCGGATAAGCGGATGAAGATGGATGGATGGAAAATGACGTGTGTACCAAAATCATGAACCAATTGAGCGCTGGATTCAAAGCCACACCGAAAATCACAGTAAAAAAATTGAAATCACACACTGACGCAACCTCATGTGCCTGTATGCACTCCTAACAACGTCTGGGCATGCTCCTGATGAGATGGCAGATGGTTTCCTGGGGGATGTTCTCCCAGACTTGGATCAGGGGATCAGTGAGCTCCTGGACAGTCTGTGGCACTACTTGGCGGTGTCAGATGCACCAACACAGAGGTCCTGAATTGGATTCAGGACTTTAGAATATGAGGGCATCAAGGCCTTTTTCATCCAGGAGCTGCCTACACACTGGCCACATGAGGTCCATCAACAGGAGACACCCAGGGTCCACTGCACCAGCGAAAGGTCTTACAATGGATCTGTGGATTTGATCCTGGTACCCTTGGCTAGCACATGGAGGCCTGTGCAAACCTACAAGGATATGCCTCCCCAGACCATCATTGACCCACTGCCAAACAGTTCATGCTGGATGACCTTGCAGGCAGCAGAATATTCAGCACTTCTGTCTCCAGACTTTGTCACATTAAGGGATGTACTGGGACTGAAATTCAGCCCAGGACTTTGAGA